ACACACACACACACACACACACACACACACACACACACACACACACACACACACACACACACACACACACACACACACACACACACACACACACGTAATATCGTGTGGTGAATATGGAAAGAAGCAAGTAAAATGGAAACCAGTAAAATGGAAATAAATGGACTGTTTCAAACTGGAAACTTGGTTTCTGACCTTTATTCGGCAGCAATCTTGTGTGCGTCAATTACACCCACAAAGCGGATCCTCAGAGGCTTAAAGCGTTGGCCTAGCCTCTACAGTCCCAACTAATGTTTAATCAGTGAATGGGAAAAATAATGAAGAATTGTCATTAGATGTTACATATTTGCTTTGGAATTATTATTGTTATAAATGTATTCAAAACCTTGAGCAGAAAGTCGTTTTTTTTTTAAACAGGAAACTGTGAGAGAAAAGAGATTCTCACATTTCAGATGCTTTAGCCAGCAACACTTCTGTTTATTGAAAACAACCAATCACTAGGGGTGTTGTAAGGCTAACACGTCACTCCAGTGGAGCATTGTGTGAATTCAGAGCATTCACTGGTTTGAAAATCATTTACTTTGATAGATTTCAATTAGATCAGATGAACACATCCAAAATGCCTTTACAGTCTTCTACAGGGCAAAAAACAACAAATAAGAAGAATACATTTTTCTTTGCAGATAGATAAACTGTGATTATTTTCAAAGCATGACTAAATCAAATACACATTGAAACCAGATTAGTCTACAATCTTTGAACTGGCCAATGACCAATCTGTGGAACTGTGAGTAAAAGAAACTCTGAAAGTTTGAACCCCTGATTGATGTTATAGGTTGTGTTTATTCTTGAAGCTTAACAAACTGAGTTGGTTTACCTTTCCTGCACCGCTCTCTCCGCTGACCAACAAGGACTGGTTCACCGGCTCCAGCTGGTTCTGCACGTTCCTGTAGGCTTCTTCTGCCACTATAAAGATATGTGGTTTGAACTCCTGTTGGCATAAAACATTTCAAAATATTAAAGCAAGGTTCATTATTTTATCAAGAGGTGAAACTCTACCAAGTTGGTAGACATCAGACACAAGGATGAGTTATTGCTTATTGCTGACACGTTTGGAACGATTTAATCCAGAAAGTCCAGGAAACGGCCTTTGGAAGAAAAACAAACTCTTACAACGCACCTATCGCACTTCGCAGCCCCACCCTTACTATCCACACGATTGCTTGTGCTACCATCTAAACGTATATAAGAAAACAGCACACATTAACAACAGCTTGATTAGGCTTGAGAGAACACTTCTGCAGTCATTCAAGATTCAAGATCATCAATTGACCAACTAACAGAATATTTTTTAAATGGTTGGTGGTCCTCCTTACCATAAGGAAGAAATAGCCATCTCATGTTATTTCTGCTAGGCCACTTTATGATCTGAGTTAAGGCCCAGATACACCGGCCAGTCACCTGAGAAGTCGCCGACGCCGACTGTTGCGTCGCCGGACTCTCCTGCGTATTTGCCGACTTCGCGCACTGGAACACACCGCAAATCCGAGCCGAGCACGTATGAACTGCGCATGCGTGAGTGGCAATAGCTCTCCTTACCAGCAGGCGGCGGTAGTGTGTATTCATCATTCAAAAGAGGCAACAACCGGAACAACCGGAAGACAGAGAAGAACAGACTCCGTGATATAAACAAACAACAAATAGCATTTTTCTTTCCATTTTCACTCTCGTCCATTGAAAACATGAACGAACAGGAGCTCTATAAACCGATGAGGTGAAATAGCCGTCCGTGTGTGTTCCATCTTCCATTTTAAATCATTTGTTTACCTCCCTCACTTCCGTTAACGCTTTTCATGCACTGATTCGCTAGCTGAACAGCCAATCAGTGTTATCCCTTTGTCCGACTTCCGGTGGTGTTCCCGACGCCGATTCAACAAGAAAAGGCGTCAGGTCGGCAGAAAAGACCCGACGGTGCGGCGCACACCACTCCGAATAGGGCGTGCCCACGCTCATGTTCGGCCCGACTCCCATTTACTGCCGATTTCGGGCCGGTGTATCTGGGCCTAAAGGCATCCAAAATTCAAACTATTTGAATTTGAGATCACATTTGTGATGTTTGACGAGGAAATAAGCTATAACTGCTGTACTATAAGCATTGCATTTCAAGTTTAAAATAGATCAAGATCCTCAGGTCGAATGCTAAAGTAACAGAGCGTGCAATAATTATTCTTGTCTCAAACATTCCCTAATACAAATGTATTCACAAATATATCGTTTTTTTATGAACTGCAAGCAAAACGCTGCCAAATGAGACCATCAGTGGCAGATAATAAAAATGTAAAAAACAGACTTAAGATTCATAAGTGGTGAGAGAGGTGGAGAAGTCCCTGTAAGGTTGTGCGGCGTGGACGATGGTAATCAGTTAAACGAGGATCCTCATTCACCCTCTCCTCATTACAACATGGTTAAGCAAATTTCCACGTCTGCTTTAAATGTTTGACACTGATGAGACACAACGACTTTGTGTGTGTGTACGGTTGTGTGCGTGTTTGAGCGTGTGTGTGCGCAGTTGTAAGGCTGCATGCTAGTCTATTTGATTTGGATTTTAACATCACGCTCAGAACTCTCCCAGTCCACAGCCCGGTATCCAAACGTCCTATCAGTGACCTCAATTCACTTAAGCATGCCCATTGATCCAATCACCATCAAGCTATGGCTTAGTTGGGCCAATGACATGAGTCATATCAAACCTAATCACACTGATAGATCCACTAAGTGGGTCAGCAAGTTCTTGGCTTGGCCTAGTTGAAGAAAACTTTTCAAACATATGGTAAGAAACACATTTTTAATAAGAGACCTTTAAAAATTGGGACCTGCAATTTATTTTCCGACAAGACATAAGTGCAATGGTTTTACAGCTGGGATGATCGAGCCACATTTTAAAGGTCCCATGTCATGGCCATTTCTACTGATCATAATTCCATTGTTGAGGTCTATTAGAATAGATTTATATTGTGCAATTTTCCAAACTCACATTGGTTTCTCATACAGCATCTCTGTATAGTATGTGTATTCACTCTCTGTCCTAAACGACTTGTGGGAGCTCCTGCCCCCCCCCTCCTGTGAGCCCAGTGTGCTCTGATTGGTCAGCTCGCCCACTCTGTTCTGATGAGTCCACCAC